GTCTTCATATGTCTGATTTGGGTGAACTCCACTTGAGAATTGATAATAAACAATGCTTTAAAATCTTTTAAAAATGATTATAAGTTTATATTAGCATGTGTTTTGAAGAAATAAATTGTATGTTTGGATATGTTATCAAAAAAAATTTTTTTAAGTGTACCCCGCGAAAAGGGGGGGGTTGTTTTGAGTCATAGTACAAACAAAAAGTTAATGGTGTATAAATATCAATGGACCTTATAGCTCAATCAAGTTGTGTGTGTCACCATGGAAGTAGTGTCATCGTCTCTGGGATTCCGACACCTATCGTCCCTTCCCGTGACGTCGAGCCTCATCACCGTCCTCATCGTTCCTTTAAAGATAGAGCGCCGGCGAAATCTCTGGCTAGACCCAGCAGAACTAGACAACCTTTCAATTTTCCCACCAAAAATCCCAAACCTTTTAGGGAGAGAGACGCTTTCCCTTCTTCTCTTCCGCTCCATTCCAAAAACCCATACAGTATCCACAGAGATATTCAAAAGTTTGCGAGGCAGAACAATCTCGAAGACGCTCTCATGATTCTCGACTATCTCGAACACAGAGGAATTCATGTAAATGCGACAACTTTCTCCGCCCTTTTAGCCGCGTGTGTTCGCCGGAAGTCGCTATTTCACGGTAAGCAAGTCCATGTTCATATCCGCATCAATGGTCTTGAGAACAACGAGTTTATTCGGACCAAGCTCGTTCATATGTACACTGCCTGTGGTTTGGTCATGGACGCACATAAGGTGTTCGACGAAAGTACTAGCTCAAATGTTTATTCCTGGAATGCGTTGCTTAGAGGGACTGTGATATCAGGGAAGAGGAAGTATCAAGATGTTCTTTCTACGATTACGGAAATGAGAGAGCAAGGTGTTGATTTGAATGTCTTTAGTTTCTCTAATGTGTTCAAGAGTTTTGCTGGTGCATCTGCTTTTTGTCAAGTACGGGCAACAAAAAATCAGATGAAATTAACCAAATTGATGATTTTTGTCAAGTTGGTTGTGTTACTCTTCATTGTGATTCTGTTGAAGATCAGAGTAAGTTTTTCGAAAAAATCATACATTTTAATCTTCACATTCTAGCTTGTATTGAAATACTTTTACAATAATTATGTTTTTTGTTGTTGTGTATTATGGACAGATATGAAGACCGACGGGAAAAAAGCTAAAAATTGTGTGAATTCATGCTCGGATATGTGTAGCAAAAAGAATTAAGATATTTAATTATTTTTGTATGCAATAGTTGATTTTTTTTTTAATAAAGGTATTATGAATTATTGGGTTGTTTCGATGTAATATTCAAATCAAATAAATATCAATTTAGATTCGAAATTGTCTAATAATCTAGTATTAGTGGATAAAAATTCGTCTTATTTAGTTGAAGGTTCGAGTTCTCCTATTGTGATTGTAATCATTGTTGGCCACTAGAAACGCTTTAAATGACAACAAAAAAGTATTCATAGGTTATGAGGATTAGTCCGGCGGAATCATTGAATTTCGCTTTTTTTTTTTTAATCGCGTGTATTTA